ATGTTTAAGTATTCCATATGCAGAATCACTAAATAACTATAAATAAAAGTACAGTGAAATATGAATGTGCATTATGGATATCATGATTTAAAAGCTCTATTTCCTTATTAACTGAATTACATGGCTAATAAGCAACTTCGATATCCTAACACCAGAAGTTCTCAGCCTTGCTGACCTCTACTTACCCTATCAATCTCCAATCTTAGCTTCATTCAAATATTTACTCTTTGACCTTACACTCAGATTATTAAGCAATGCCAAACATAAACTAATGATTGGGACATGTACCACTATTTCAGGTGTTTGATGTCCAGTCTCATCTGTGCTTTCCCTATTAATCAGGAATCTATTTGTGTTTTATTTTTTTCTCCTATCTCACCATGTCTCCACACATCCACTACATAGTCCACAGTGCATAAAACAGAAACTATTTCAAGAACTTAGAAATGAACAATGAAGAGTATTATTGATGGGGGTAGTAGTGTGGGTGGACAAACTGAGGGAAGGGCTAGTATTTTCATACAATGTTCCTGTATGGATCAAGAAAAAGATGCTTTCTCTCGGTGCACATATTCCTAAGGACTCATAGATGAAGAGAAGGTTGCAACTTTGTAAAAAGGAAAAGGCTCCGTCTTCAGTGTATGCTCTAAATTGCCTTCTTGGTTTGAGATAGGAGAAATCTGTAGAGTCTCCATATTTATGGTGTTGATTTCAGGAAGGGTTTCTGTTATACAAAATGGCAAAATCACTTGTTAGTTAATGGCATTGGCAAGTTTTATGTATATATATATATATATAAAGAAATATATATATACATATATATTTCTTTATATAAATACATACACATTTATTTTAGTTGTCGATGGATCTTAATTTATTTATTTGTATGTGGTGCTGAGAATCAAATCCAGTGCCTCACACGTGCTAGGCAAGTGCTCTGCCACTAAGCCACAACCCCAGCCCTGGCACTGGCAAGTTTCATGGGTAGTTGGATTTAGGAGGAATAGTAAGGAAGATGTAACAGTTTGTTGATTAACCATAATTTTTCTTCCATGTGAATAAAATCACCATTTTAATAATATGTTGAATATAATTTGCTAATGGGGAGCACAATTTAAACAGTGAATCACAATTAGTTGAAGTTTAGTAAAGCTTAAACTATGATAGATATATTCTTTTATGCCAATGGTTTTGTGATAGGCATCTAATCTAGTGGTGGCTAAAGAGATAAAAGGGGTGTGTGATCAACATATGCAAAGTTTTCCTCTTGGTAATCACACATGGGATACACCTTCATTTTTCTTTCCTTTTTATATGGCCTTATTAGAGAAAGATGCTTAGATCTATGGTAGCCATTTCAGGACCATGTGAAGACAAACATGAGGTTAATGATGAAACCATGGGACTTGGCCCAATTTCAATGACATTATTAAAGACATGAGTGCTATTACTGATCACATTCTTTTTCTCCTTTGTGTTTTCAGATGCCAATTTTTCATTCATGACCACTCTTTGTTTTTAGAAATTACTTCCCTTTTCACTTGTCCAGACTTTGTTCTTAGTCCTTTTATTTTCCTTTATTTTTCTGAATAATGTTCAACTGGGGAAACATCTACTTTAAAAAAGAATATCCAATATTATCATATGTTCTAAAACTCTTTTTTTTTTGCATTTTAAAATAGCTTTATTGAAATTTAATTCATATATCAGACAATTCATACAAAGTGTACAACTCAGTATAATTAGTATATTCATAAAACTGAACAACCATAACCATAGTTTTGAAATTTTTCATTAGCACAAGAAGAAGCCTCATATCCATTAGCAGCTACTCTTCATTTTTTTTTCAGCCCTAGGAAGCCAATACTCTTACCTTCTGTTTCTACAGACTTGAATATTCTGCATATTTCATATAAATATTATCATATAATTTGTGGTTTTTGTATGACTGGCCTCTTTGACTTGGCACAAAGTTTTTAAGGTTTATATGTGTTATAGAGGGTATCAATAACGTTTAATTTTATAATGTAAATTACCAGGAAACAAAAACCGACAAAATATTCCTGACTAGTGAGAACACATAAATAGAACCAACAGAACTTCTGAGTAACATGAAACATATCAAAAAGCAGCAGTTACCTCAGATATACTGCAACCCTAATCTTTTGGAATTAAGGATCACTGAATGTAATTATAAGATGAGGTCATATTGGAATAAAGCAGCTCTCCAATCTAATGCAGTCAGTGACCTTATAAAAAGGCAGCTGCCACTATAATAAATATCTCACATAATCTTCTCATAAAGAGAAAATGTTTGTTTTGGTTTCAGTTTTCAAGATTTAAGTCCATTATCAATTGGCCCTGTTGTTTTTAGGACTGTGGTGAGTCTGCACATTTTGGCAGGAACATGTGGTGGAACTAAACAACTCACCTAATTGTCAGGGAACAAAAGAGATAAAGCTGGTGCTGGGATCCTACTATACTTTTCAAGGGCATGCTCCCAATGACCCAGACTTCCAATTAGGCCTCACATCTTAAAGTGACCACCACTTCCCAATAGTTCCATGTTGAGGGCCAAACTTGGGCCTTGGGAGACTTTGCAGATACAAACTTTAATGAACACCATATGCAAAGATGGGGATACAGGGAGAATGCCATGTGACGATGGAAGCAGATACTGCACTGATGCAACTGTGTACCAAAGACTACAGGACATTATATCACAAGCTGGGAAAGCATAGAACAATTCTCCTTTAGGGTACCCAGAAGGAACCAAACCTGACAAACTGACACCATGACTTCATACTTTTATCTTCCAGAACTAAAGTGAAAGGATACATTGGTGGTACTTTATTGCTCCACCCTTAGGAAACTAATACAAACGATAAATGACTACACAATAGTTTAGGCATTCATCATATCATACATTGAAGCTCTCCCCCCCCCCCCCCCCCACAAGTGATTGAACCCAGGGGCACTTTACTACTGAGCCCCAGCCATAACTCTTTTTAATGTTTTATTTAGAGCAAGGATCTGATGAAGTTGCATAGAACTTTGCTGAGTTGCTGAGGCTGGCTTTGAATTCTCTATCCTCTTGCCTCAACCTCCCAAGGTACTGGGATTAAAGGCATGTGCCATCCTGCCCAGCTCAAACTCTTTTTCCATCTTTTTCTCTACTACCCTAGACCAAGCCATCATCTTTTCCTTTAGGTATTATAGTAGCCTCCTAATTTTCTATTTTCATTCTTCTATCATTATAATCCATTTGTCTTATAGAGAATATTAAAAGGATATAAATCAGATCTTATCCATTTCCTGCTCAAAACCCTCCAATAAATTTAGGGCCAATAGGATCAAATGTGTATATATCTCTTGTTAAATTCCTGATACTCACTCTTCTCACTATATATCAGGTGACTAGTTTTTTCTTTCCTTCTTTTCCTTTCTTCATTTCTTTCTGATTAAATCAACTCAATTTCCTTATTATGCATTTTTTTTTTTTTTGCCCCAAATGCTCTTCCTTTTATGGCTACTTCCTTCTTGTCACTACATTTCAGTTTAAATTCAGTTCTGAATAGTCTTCCTTGAGCATCAGGCTTAAACTAGAAATGTTTGCTCAATATTAATGCTGGTGTTCCATACACCATCAGAATTTCAACTAGGACTTGTGTTCACTGCTTATCTACACCTGAGTAGGTGACTGGCACTCTTCAAAAACTGTACTGAATGGAGAACAAAATAGACTAGATTTCTGCTCTTGTGGAGCTCATCTTCTAAAGTAGATTAATAAATAAAAAACACATAAATTTTGTAAACAGTTGTACAGAAGAGAATGAGTTGAAATAAAGGATTTTGTGGAATCTATTTAGACAACAGAATGAAGACTCTCAGTGATAAACTGACATTTGTTATTTGACCTGAATGAATATTGGGAAAGACTAGCCACAGAGCTCAGGCAAGAGATTTCACAACAGAAAAAATAGCAAGTAAATGATCTCAGAGGCTGCAGAGTTCAGTGAGTTCCAGAAAAGTCAGTGTGACCACACCATAGGGAAGCTGGGGAACAATGAGAAAAGATCTAGAAAGGTAGTCAAGATGGCAGAAAGGATAAGAGATTTTAGGTTGTTTTGGAGATAGTTGTTTAAGATTATGCAAGCCTTGTTAAGGGGCGTTAAGTTTGCAGTTTACAAACTTTAAGTTTGTGTGTTTTGTATTTTACAAACGTTTGCATATTCTTTTTCCTCTGTATGGAAAAAAAAAAGATATGCTTTAAAGTTGTCCAAGCCCTCCAATCATTCACATTTAGGTCCTCTGTTACTACCTGTATTTTTCAAGACTTTATTAATCTTCACAAAAACTCATTTTGGATATTTCAAAACTTGAAGCCTAAGGCTAGAATTTGCATTGGCTGAGAAATTTTCAAGCCTGTCCAGTTTTCAGGTAAAACTTCGAGTTGCCAGGTCCTATCCTTCTGGTATCCAATTTTGTATTCCTAAAAAAGCATCACTGAACCAAAAGTCAGTCACTTAATAGGAAAGGAAAAAAACAGAAGGAACTTTCCACTTCCAAACTTAAGCCAAAAGAGAGATTTCTTGCTTTATCATTGTTATTTTTGTCAAGAGTGGAATTCTCCAGGTCATACCTCATCAAAACTTAATCACTGCAAATCCTGTACATCTATTATCAAAGACAAATGCCTTTTTCTATTTTGGCCCATGGGGAATGGGAAAAGTTCTTGTCATGGTTTCAGACAACAGCCTCGGAACACCAAATTATGAGGGGGGGGTCCTAAAATACACTCTCTTGGTTAAATCCAGGATACATGACAAACTTTGGACAGTCCTATCTCCCCTTGACTGTTCCTCTCCCCGTGAATTGAGCTGATTTGTTTGAAACACTGCCTCAACAAGAAATTCTCAGAAATTAGAGAAGGAAGGTCTCTTTAAAGAAAACCATATACACAGTATCCAGTTGAAGGGAACACTCAGTTGTGCTGCTCAAAGAAAAAAAACAAAGGGCCTGCTCCGGAACCCCAAATTGGGTAGGGGTAAGGAAGGACATGGCTGAGCCAAGTCGGCGCGTGACCCGCCTTCTGGGGTGGCCTTAGCCAGCCAAGAAGAGATTGGGGAGAAAAGGGTAAGCCCTCGCAGGCTCCAGGTGCGAGCCGCGTGAGTGGGCGGAGAGCCTGGGCACCTCCTATCCGCTCGGGGCGTGCATCCAGAGACCACCTGCTCGGGCCCTGCTCCTCCCCGTTGGCGGGGGGAGAACGGGCCGGCGGCCGCACTCTGCAGCTATAAAGGGCCCCGGGCCGCTGCTGCTCGCCTAGGCTCGCCTTCAGCTCCGCCCTCGTAGCCTTTCTCTCGGCTAGAGCTCGCGCTCTCGCGCAGGCCCCACTCGACCCTCTCGGGCCTCGGCTACTCGGGCCTCGGCGGAAGATGGCGGCTCCTGCGGGTTCGGCAACTCCCGCGGCTCCGGCCAAGGGCTCCGAAGCGGCGTTGGCTGCCGCCTTAGCGGACGTGCCTGAACTGGCCCGACTCCTGGAGGTTGACCCGTACCTGAAACCCTTCGCCGAGGACTTCCAGCGCAGGTAACACGCCACCCACCCGCAGCCCGCCTTCCGGGATCTGGCTCGGCGTTCCAGCCGCCGCCACCCTTCCCGTGCGCGCATGCGTGCGCGTGCTGCCCGGCCTCGCTCCAGTCTTCGCCGCTCCCCGCCCCTCCCTCCCGCGGTCTCCGCACGTCCTCCACAGGCAGGAAGCTTGGTGGGCGTGGTATCCTGTACGCTCTGGCTGTGGCATTTAGTGGTTTCCCCAAGTTGTGCGTGACCGTCCTGACCCTGGGAGTGGATGCTGAAGCTCCAAAGGAACTTGACTCGTCTCCCCCCTTTCCAGTCAGCGGCTTGCGCCATAGCGGACGTGTTTGGCTTCCAGCGCTCCTTTCCGCCTGTGCTGCGGGTTTCGTCACTTTGTTAACCGCCCGCTTGTTCCTCCGAACGAGTGCGGACCCGACTCGCGATTTGTGTAATTGCGTATTTAAAACCTTCTAGTTCACTTCATAGCAAATATTGGGATTTTATCTCCCAGAGGATTTTTCAAAGAAAGATACTATAGATTTTCCCGTTACTATTTCCACTTCTTAGGGAAGATCAAGCCTATCTCGATCACTTTTTAACTCTTGGATAAACGTTGATAGTGATTGTACAGCACACTCGTCATGCTTCACACTGCCGCCAGACTTCTTGGGGTCCATTCAGGATGCTTTAATATAGCGTCATGCTTATCCTATTTCATTGGTTTCCCACAAATAAGTAGAATTTAGTAATTCTAATCAGCCAAATTCAAAAAGGTCTCCTTTGTAAAATTAGAGTAGTAGTTACGTTCCTTCGTGAGGTAAGCCTATTGTTTTTTAGTGGTTTCTGCTCTTTAAGCAGAGCCACTGCAAGATGAAAACTTGCAACAGCATATACACAAGTAAGTTAAGTCATAGGAAACATCTAGCAAGTTGGTGACATGAAGCAGCATTGACAGTAATCAAAATGGGTTGATTGTGACTTTTAACAAGCACAGAGTCTTACCAGCCACACCAAACAAACTAACTGAAGTAAAACCAAACAAACAAACGAACAAAAAAAAAGCTACTCTAGAGATTGTAAGGAGACTGAAGTTGTACACATCTCATTCTGGAGTTTTTATATCGTCATGAATAAGCCCCCTTGAAAGTAGCCTTGTTGAGCTGTTGAACTCATCAGATGATTATGCCTTTATATAAAAGCAATGGGGAGCAGTCCCCTGAAATTGCTTTCAGAATATGCAGTATAGGCTCTCAAAGAGTGCACATAATCTTTAGAGTTGAAGACTGGTTTCAATTTACAAATAGTTAAAAAGAAAAAAAAGGTAAAAGAAAGTGATTACAAAATGTAGACTCTGTTTTATAAATTGTTCCTTAAGACATTCTAGGGTCTGAGGGTATAGTTCATTGATAGAGTGTTGTTTTGGCATGCCCAAGGCCCTGGGTTTAATCCCCAGCATTGGCAGAATTTTTTTTCCCCCTAAAAGAAAACATGGGGAATGTTTTTCTTCTCTGTCCTCCCATTTTAAATGGTCAGGAACAAACTTCTTTTGTCAAGGGTTTCTTTCATGAAACTCCTTTGGGATTGAAGTAATTATAATCATCTCTCATGGTTTGTTAAAACTAATGAGGAGGACAAAGGCCAAAATAAATAAGGGTTCTTGGTAAAAAGAACTGGTCCAATGGGTCCTTCTAAGCCTCACTCTGACCTGGATTCTGCTTTTGTTTTAGGTTGAGTAATTGCCATTTTCTAGCAAACATGTTCCATTTAGGCATAGCAAGTAGCAATTTGGCATTGGTAACTTTAAATTGTTAATAGTGGAAGAATAAGAAAATTCCTCCTTCAAAGACTGATTGTTCTACTTATTGATCTGTTAGAATGTGTCCCTTCCCCAAAATTCAGTGTTGCCAATGTGTTGTAAAAGCAGTGGGACTTTTATTAGTATGTGATGAGGATATAAGGACTCCTCCCTTATGAATGGGATTAAGGCCCTTAAAAAAAAAAAAAAAAGCCTTCCTCCAGCTTTTCCTCCTTTTGCCCTTCAATCATGTAAGGCCACATCATTCCTTTCCTTTGGAGGGTGCAGCTTCAAGGTGCCTTCTTGGAAGCAGAGAACACTACTTCCCTGACAGCAGAACCTGCTGATCTCTTGTTCTTACATGTTCCAGTCTCCAGAACTGTGAGAAAATAAATTTCTGTTTTTTAATAAATTATCAAGTTTCAGGTATTTTGTAGTAGCAGTATACAAATAGACTAAATTTATTATATTTCCTCTTCATTCCTGTAACCCACTTAGGCAGTGTGTTCTTGGCTTAACACAGATATACTACCAATTGACCATTTAAGTCCAAAGTATGCTTACTAAGGAGCAAAGAAAAATTGAGGTACAAACAACAATATATAAGAATAGTGAAGAGGTGAGCAATTTCTTCTCATTGATGGACCATCATCCTTGTCCAGCCAGAATTTCCTCATTTGAAATTGGGTTGGATCTGTTTGTTGCTCTTTTCACCTTCTCTATGTTAAGAATTCTGAAATGTGGAGGATTAGTGAGTTACTCTGTGCTATAAAATAAAATTACTACATGATTAGTACCTCCATGATTGTCTCATGGATTGGCTACTTAATATGATATTTCCACTTAGCTCTTTTGCATTTGCTTTTTAACCTGCAGTTTATGCTTCAGTTTTTTGTTGTCATACTTTCAAAATCCTAGTGCTTTAAAACAACATTTAATTGTCCCCATATTATATGCCATCATGAGTAAGCCAAAGGGCTGTTGTCACAGTAGATAAGGACCTAGGCTTATGAAAGGTTTGTTTTGAAACATGCTTCTACAATGGGTAGTGGCAGGAAATAGAGAATAGGTTGAACTATGCATTTTTTTTCTTAAAGCTTTTGCCTTTCTGTTGGTAAATTACATTGACTGGTGCAGGTCAGCTTGCCATGTGGGTGCAACAAAGGACCAATTTTGGAGAACATTATTCAGAACAATATGATTGAAATAATGCTAATTTATATGTTCTGTTTAAATTTTATATAGGACTTCCATACATATTATATTTCATGCTCATAACAAAACCACGAGGTAGTTAGGATAGGCATTTTTTTCTTTCACAGGTGAAGAAAATGAGATTTGATCAGGTGCCTGGCATGAATTCACATGGCTTGTAAGTGCTTCAGCTGGGATTAATTTTTACTAAAAGCTTCCCCAACAAGTTCACAAACAACTTCTTGATAGTTTAATGGATACCTCTCTCTCTCTCTCTCTCTTTTTTTTTTTTTTTTTTAAGCATGTACATGTGTATCACTTTGTGGTTCCTTGAAGCCATGGTCTTCCTTTTCTTCCATTATCATTGAGGTTTCTCCTCAGCTTTTTTCAGACCATTTAGTGTGAGATGCTCAGGGCTCTTCCCTAGGTTTTTTGAGTATCTCTGCTTAATATATTTAACCTAGAAATTTTTACCATCCTGTGGATTCCATTTTCTGAGGATACCCTCCATCTGTTTTCATTTCAGATCTTTCTCCTAATCTCAGGAATATTAATAAACACCTTTATTTCAATGTCCTGTAAGTACAACGCTCAATATGTATAAAATTGAACTTAAAGTTTTTCATTCCAAACGTGTTTGGCCCTTTATACCCTCTGTCAGTGCATGGTATCCTCAATTACCAATTGATCAAGCCTGAGCATGAAGACATGTTCTTAATTACTTTTCTCTCTCCATTTGAGTCTCTTCTGTTGTAGCTCCTCATTCAAATATATACTATTCTGCATTCTTACTGTTATCCTGTTTGAAGTAGCTAGCATATCTAGCCTGGTTTAAAAAAACAGCCTTATAGCTATTACTTTGTTTTTGAATCTTTACCCTGCCCTACTCACTCCACTCATCTTTACTCAAAAACAGTAATTAAGAATGATCTTGGAAATAGGTAAATCTGAGCCTGATGTTCTTTTGCTTAAATCCTTTTAGTTCTTCATTTCCCTTTTGGTACAGTCCATATTCCTTCTCATGACTTCCAAAGGGTCTATTTTCTGGACTGTTTGTGGACTTTTTCAGCTTCATCTTTGCATCTTCCCTCTTGTTCTGTACTATCTAACCAGAGGTGAGTTGGGGGACATACTGTAAGGTGCACTAAAATATCACTAAAATAAATCACAAATGTGATATACATTTTCTATATATAATCCTTTATCCTTGAATATTGCCAATTTTAATTTCTTATGTATTTCTCCCAAGAAGTTGGGAGAGATCTAAAAAAAATTACTGAATAAATATCAAGACAAAACAAGAATTAAAGAAGTTTTCTGGTCTTTATTGAAACAGTGACTGTGTTTCAGCTTAGGAGTGAATTAATAAATGAACCTTTTTCTGTGTTTTTTTTTATTAATATAAAATAATTTGCCCTATAAAATACATCTTTAATGAATGTGTGAAAAATATCAGGTTGAAGGTGTGCCAATATATTGTCGCTTTTCTGGATGCCACAGATTTAGTCTTGCCTTGGGTCTAGATAGTCTTGCTTTTGTAGATACTGTGATCTCTGCTTGATGCATTCATTGCTTCTATCCCATTCTAAGTTCCTATACATGCTTCTGGACATGGCTTGCAGATATGTTGTATGCCTTCCTTGACTTCTCTCTATCCATAAGGTTTAAAATGGGGAAAGAGGTTTTGTGAGCTCAAGTGTGTTAAGTGTTACAGTTATAGTGAGGCTCTTTACTTAGTTGGAAATAAGAATATTTTTTACATTGGTATTTAATTAGAATTGGAAAGTAATTTGGATTTGGTGTGTCAGCAATTATACTAATTGGTTCTCACTGCATAGAAGTTTTAAATGATAGCTTAGCACCAGGCTAGGTTGTAGGCTCTGAAGAAGGTCAAATGTCTGTGATTTAAGAAAACAAGGAAGAATCTGAATATTATGAGACCTATGTGATGTGCTCTTCTGTTGCCCTTAGCAGCTGAATTCTGTACTAATTTCAGAGTCACTCCTGGATTCTCTGCAGCAGTGGT